CCAAATATGCTTCAGTGTCTCCCAAAAATTTAAATAACACTCCTTCAGGAGTCTTTTTGAACAATTCATTGCCCATGCATATGTAGCTCAAAGCCCTATACTTTATTTTCCTGTCCACATTTCCGACTGGGTTTTCCAAATACTTCACAATCGGTTTTCGCCAATCTGTGTCTGACAAATTTTCAGTGGCAAATATTTCAAATTTAAAATGATTTTTGAAATTCGCACACGTCTCATCTGTCCCCCCAGTTTTTGAAATTGGAAATGGGAAGGATGCTGTCGAGACTACCTTCTCTCTGAATTCGACAAAACATTTTAGCTTGTCAGTGGACACCTTATACCCAAAGGCTACTTGCGCCAAATCATTGGCCACTTGATTCTCCAATCATGGTACGTGTGTGATACTTACCACTTTGAAATGTTCCAACAACTGATTGACTACTGCAAAATACATGAACAAATTCTCTTTGACGCATTTGTATTCTCGAGTGATTTGCTTAACCACTAACTCTGAATCTCCTTTGATTTTGATCTTTTTTGTGCCCAAGTCTTTCAACAGTTTAAGGCCTGTAATCAACGCCTCGTACTCTGCTTCATTGTTAGAGCATTTCCCATCTACCATACATTTGAACTTTATTGGTACTCCTCTTAGAGATATAATCAGAACTCTGACACCAGTTCCCTTTTTATGGCTCGACCCATCGAAATATAATTTCCATGGGTCAGCATCGAACATATTTACTGCTGGTTCCATTATGGCGTGGTCAACTATAAAGTCTACCACAATTTGGCCCTTCGTGGCCCTCAAAGGCATATAAAATAATGAAAACCCAATTAAGGCTAGTGCCCACTTGCCAATTCGGCTATGAAAAATTGGTTTGGACAACATATGTTTAATGACATCACAGTGAGACGAGACATAGACATCAACTGGTTTAATATATTTCTTAAGTTTAGTACATGAAAAATACAAGCACAAGCATAGTTTTTCTATCATACTATACTTAGTTTCTACATCTATCAACACACGACTAAGGTAATAAATGGGTCTTTCGACTCCCTTATCGTCCTCTTGAGCTAACATGCTCCCTATTGTTAGGTATGATGCAGCTATGTACAACCTCATATTCTTATTTCTGCTAGGTGGTAATAACACAAGAGGCCTTGTTAGATATTTTTTAATTGTGTCGAAGGTCTCTTGCTGCTCTTTTCCCCAGTAAAAGTCACTCTCTTTCTTGATCTATAACAATGGCGAGAAAACCTTCATTTTTCCACTTAGATTTGAAATAAATCTTCTCAAGAAATTGATTTCCCCAATAAAGATTGCAACTGTTTCTTTGTCGAAGGAGGCTTGAGACCCAAAATTGCCTTTGTTTTGCTTTGGTTGATCTCAATGCCTTTTTTATACACTATAAATCCTAAAAAAATCTCCTGCATGTACACAAAATTACATTTTAGTGGATTCATTTTCAATCCATATTTCCTCATTCTTTTAAAAGATCGTCGAAGATGGTCTAGGTGATCGTTCTCAGATGAGGATTTTATCACAATATCATCAATATATATTTGCATGAAGTGTTCAATGAAATCATGAAACATGGCATTCATTTCCCTTTGCTAGGTGGCTCAGGTATTTTTTAAACCGAACGACATTACCACCCATTCATGTGTATCCAATGCCCCTGGGCATCTAAATGTCATTTTAAGCACACCCTCCTCTGCTATAAATATCTGATTATACCCAGAGTATTCGTCGAGCATGCTAAGATACTCATATCCTGCAGCTGAATCGACTAACATTTTTGCAACATGCATTAAATATTCATCTTTGGGGGTAGCATTATTCAAATCCTTAAAGTCTATAAAAACTCTAAGAGTCACATTCTTCTTAATAACAGGAACAATATTAGCTAACCAGTCGGCGTACCTTGCAGTTCTGATGAACTTACTCTTGAGAAACCTCTCTATTTCTTGTTTGATCTTCAAAGTTATTTTAGGGGAGAATCTTCTAAGATGCTTCTTTACTGGCCTTTTTCCTGGCTGAATAGGTAGTCGATGTTCCATGACTGTTCGACTTAAACCCGACATCTCGCCATAGTCTCATGCAAAATAATCCCTATACTCCTTCAGTAGCTTGATCAACTTAACCTTCATTTTCGGCTCAACCTTCATGCTAATGTACGTTAGTCTCTTGGTTATTCCATTTCCCACATCAACCTCCTCTAATGGATCTTGTGCTTGCATCCTCAATAATGGATTCAATGGATCCTTTTCTAATCCCAAAGGTTCATTTTCATATATATAATCCAACCTCCAGCTTTATGAAGCTGTTATTTGGCCTAATGGGCCTTCTTGATTTTTCTTTCTGGCTTCGACAACCATACTTTGCAATTTATCAGCTTCTAAAATTGATTTCCTTTTATTTTCAACTACGTAAGCCGAAATTCGAGCCAAACTCACTGACCCACTAGTCATCACGTTCGACTGCAGACCACCCCGTAGGTGGGATCGACTCCCTAGGCATTTCTGCCTCTTTAGAATCCCATGTAAAACCATGGTTTTGATCTAAATTTAGAAAACGATTTATGTTTTCATTGGGAGTGTAAATATCATCATCACAAGGGTCTATATTCGCCAAGTGTTGGTCGAAAGACCTCTTTCCATCTTTCATATCATAGACTTTGTAGTAGCTTTGATCAACTTCTATGTTCTCTACTATGCCATCTTTGGTGCAACGTCAATGGGACTTCACCTATTCCATGAATCCATTCTCGACCAAGCAATAAATTAAAATTTTCTATAGAATTTATCACCATAAATAGAGTTGATCTGGTTGTTGTACCGACAACCAATTCGACTTGAATGATCCCCAGTGTACTATTGGTCTTTCCTTCATAGTTTGATAAAACTATGTTGTGAGGTCGAAGATCTGACCCACACTTCCCCATTGGATGCAAGTGGGTGTTTAGAAAGAAGTATCATAGTAATGGTACATTGAAAACCTACAAGGCTATATTAGTAGCAAAAAGATTTATACAAAAGGAAGGTGTTGATTACTTTAACACATATGCACCAGTAGCAAGAACTACGATAATTAGAATATTGTTTGCACTATCTTCCTTGAATAATATTATTGTTAATCAAATGGATGTTAAAAAATCATTCCTAAATAGAGATCTCGATGAGGAAATCTACATGGAACAACCAGAAGGGTACGTGCTTCTTGGAAATGAACAAAAAGTATGCAAAATTGTTAAATCCTTATACGATTTAAAACAGGCACCAAAACAATGCCATCAAAAATTTGACTCAGTCATACTTTCAAATGGTTTTATTCCAAATTCTCGTGACAAATGCTTGTACACAAAGGTGCATGGAAACATTGTAATATTTCTATGTTTATATGTTGATGATATGTTAGTCATTAGTAATGAAATGAATGAGATCTTAGAAACAAAGAGATTTATAACTTCCACATTCAAGATGAAAGATCTCGGGCTAGTTGACACTATATTATGGATGAAAGTAAAACAAAATAGTGGGGGTTATGAACTTAATCAAACACATTATATTGAGAAAATGTTGGGTAAGCTCAAACACCTAAACTTCAAGTAAGTAAGCACTCCATTTGATCCTAGTGTCAAACTTCAAAAGAACAATGGAAGAATTGTGGCCCAATTGGAATATGCAACTGAAATTGAATGTCTAATGTATCTATTGCAATACACCAGACCCGACATAGCATACACAGTTAGTAAAGTGAGTAGATTTACTAGCAATCCAAATGATGAATATTGGAAGGCCATAACCAGGATTTTCGGTTATCTCCTAAAGACAAAAAATCTTGGCCTTCATTATGGTAGGTTCCCTGCCATACTAGAAGGATATACCAATGCAAGTTGGATATCGAGTGTTGGAGATTACAAATCTACAACTGGGTGGATCTACATTAGCCGGAGGTGTTATTTCTTGGAAAAACAAGAAACAAGCTTGTATTACCCTCTCAACCATGGAATCAGAGTTTGTGGCTCTCACATCCGCTGGACAAGAAGCAGAATGGTTGAGGGACCTTCTGTTAGAAGTTCCATTAGCTAAAGACAATGTTTCAAAAGTGTTGATACATTGTGACAATCAATCCACCCTAGCAAGGGCATTCAATGAAGTATACAATGAAAAGTCTAGACACATATGTCTTAGACACTCTCTAGTAAGGAAATTGATTAAGGATGAGATTATTTCACTGACATTATTCAAATAAGCTATAATTTAGTAGATCCGTTTACTAAGCCACTAGTCAGAGACTTGGTAAAGACTACCTTAATAGGTATGAGGTTGAAACTCCTTGAATAAGGGTACCAATAATGATAGCAACCCAATATGAAATTAATAAATCTTAACCTAAGATTCAATGGGTAACAACAAGTCATTGATTTGGATATTTGTACAACATTGCGTGAGAATGTTGACTATTACATAATTGAGGGTTGAGTTTTCAAACTCTTAATGAAGTTCTATATCGAGGATATGTATCTCAAGAAATAGATACAAATTGAACTTCACCTATATGAATTTCGAGATGGTGTCGTCTTAAAGTGAGAGTTGGAGTTTCTCTCATGTAAAATTCATGAAAACAGGAAAAACACATGGCCATAAATAGTGCTAGGCGAGATATGTAGGCAAAGAATCCTTAAAGAATATGTGTAAGGTAACGTCGGTGTAATCACAAGGGATAGCGGTTCAAAACATTACTACTTAACATTTCGATTAAACTTTGCATTATTCTTACTAAGGTTAAGTTCAAATAGAAAGATACCTAATTGTATTAACATTATTTTGTTTTCTTTTATATATGGAATTGATCTTGTCATTATTAGAACAAGTGGGAGATTGTTATAAATTGTTAACAATAATTAATAATTATAGTGTGTTCCAAAATGACAAGAAAAATATGCTAGTGAAGTTGTTCTTTGAATTTGAAAGTGAAAACACTTCATGAAGTGATGCGGAATGGAACTATGCAACTTTTGACTACGTTGCTCTTGGCCAAACATTATAACCTTTGGTAAAAAGGAATTGTTTCACCAAGAGTCGCCACCTTGTGAAACAATACTAATGAAGCCTATAAATGTTTCATTCTGCATTCAGAAAATCATTATTAAAACTCGCATATCCTCTAGAAACAATTCCAACACTCTTCGCTACGTTCGAGTTTTCATCCGTCTAGTGCAAACTCGAGAAGGCTTAATTATTCTGGGTATTCCTGCATCAAAACTCTAAGATAAATGGAGAGTACTTGAAATACTATAAAAAAAGTGTTTCGTACACGATTTCAGTCTGGATTCATTCAATTTCGAAGCTTTATATAACAAATGAGTAGTTATCTTTTTTTTTTTAATAAAAAAATTATGTGAAATTTCATGGGAATGAACATTCTCAACTTCTTCTCATGGGAATAAAACTATGAGAACTATAGAAGTTATGGAAGTTATTTCATTCTAAAGAACCTTTATTTCTGAGAATAATTTTTTTTAACCTTATAAGAAACATGAGAATAATTATTTTTCATCCAGTATTCTCAGAAATTTAATTTCTACACTTAAAACAAACGCCTCCTAATAAATATGTTGTTTCAACTTCTTTTATTTTTAATTTTTAAATTAATATAAAATAAAACAATTCCATGTCATCTAATTTAGTACCAACAGGATATCACATGTGCACAACTTAATGGAAACTGGCAAAATTAAACAAACATAATCAATATGATTAACAAAATTATATTTAAGGAACTTAGAACAAATATTTATTAAATAAGAGACTAAAGTGAAATCTTAAATTAAGTTAAATGACAAAATGATGTATTAAGCCTATATATTATATCAAAGAAAAAAAATAGTAATGCACCGATAGTGTAAAATATTTTTACACTGTGGACATTATGTATCCAATTAAATCACTCTTTTATTTTTAAAAAATTTAATGATACGACAGATTGATGGTTTTCTATTGGATGATAGTGTAAAACTATTTTATACTGTACATATCCATTAAACCCTTATATCAAATCTATTATTTATTAACATTTTTATAATTTTAATAAAAAATATAGTTTATAATTTAATATCTAAAAATCGATCCAAATTAAATCACATAAAATTAAATCGAGTCATATTTTTTTATTCAATAATTCAAAAACTAAACTAAACCAAAAATAAATTTATCTTTAAATTATATAAGTTTTTATCTCAAAATCAATCCAATCCTAAATGCAAACACCTTTCTCACCCTACACACTTGCAAGTAGTACATGTTTGATGTATCATGTATGTATGAAGAGGGTAAATTGGTTCATTTTTCCTCATCACTCTGAATGTTCAAAATTAAATCGGCTCAATATAAAACTGTAAAACCGAATCAAATCAAATTGAAATTGTAAAAAATCGCATTTGATTCGAATGTATTTGAGTCATTTTTAACAAAATCACATGGTTCGGTTCAGTTTGCGGTTTGTATTTTACAAACGGAACCAAACTGTATTATATTTCAACCCAAACTTCATTTAACCCACATCCAACCCATACTTAAACCTTTTATGCCTTAGCATTGGAATTACGAATTATTTTCTCTTTCTCACACTTAAAGTTTCAGCTTAAGTCTTCTCAAATCTCTAATGACGATATGTCGCCTTCTTTTAATCTTCTTTTTCAAATACATCTCATCTCCTCTTCTCCCGTCTTTAATCTCTTATGTTCTTTTTTTTCATCTTATTATTTTTATTCTACTATTCTCTCTTCCAATTACGCTTTAAATGCACTTTTTTTCTTCTATAATCTCTTCTCTTCTCTCTTCTATTCTTTTTTTTATCTTCTCTAATCTTTCATCTCCTCTGTTTTTTCTATTTCATTATAATAATTTTGATGTTGTTTTATGCTACTATTTTATGTTTTTGTTCCACTTTTCTCTAATCTTATTTTTGTATATTAAATAAAAAATAATTGTCTAAATATGATAAATTTTATTGATATTTGATAATGTATAAATTATTAAATACAAAATTATGTTGTGATTTATATGTGTATGTATGACTTAATATTGTTTTTTTTTGTTGTAAAAAACAACCCATCCAAACCACAATAATTTAGTTTGATTTTGATTTTATTTTTCAAAGCCAATGGAATCATACATTTTTATTCTTCTTAATTCGGATGATTTTTTCCAATTAAAACCGCACAAATCACGCCACAAACACATCTACTCATCACCAACGTCCATCCCCCTCCACTACATTCGCTCCGATCGCATAATTTAAAATTTCAATTTACATTTCTTCGCCCTTGTGATCCGAAAAGCCCCATTATATCTAACCCTCCATTTTGGACCCCAACAATTCTTGGTATGAATCCAAATTTCTATCTTCTACATCTCTTTATGCTAATTACTCTTTCCACAAATCTGGAATTTCCTTTCTCTTTTCTGAAATTTAACCATCTTCTGTGAAACCCTAATTTCTACCATATATCTATATTTGCTTAATTTTTATTCCAATTGTTGGAATAAAATCAACCTTGTTATGCAATTGAAAATTTATTGTTATCTGTTTACATAATTCCATTGACTGTAACTTAGCTTGAAAATTGATTGATATTATCAATAGGAATGAAACGTCAGTTACCACCATGGATGATGCCAAAAGTTGTTGCTTCCAGCCATGTAACTAACTCTGCCAATGTTGTTGAAGCTAATTGTTCTACACAAAATGGTGACATTAGTGCGGTCAATGCGGGGAAAATTGATCACAAGAAGGTAGCATCAAAGAGAAAGTTAAATTCCAAAGCAAAATGTGAGGATAAGGGAAAAGTGAATCAAGATCAACGGAATGAAAGTGGCGATAATGTTACTGAAAAGAAGAAGAAAAAAAGCATTGTGTCTAGGGACAGTGCTCCTAGACGTTCTACTAAGAAAGGAAAAGCTTTAGAGGATCTCGGCCGTGATAGTAGTGATCATGACCATGAATGTCAAGTTCAAGCGTCTAGTGACGATGATGATGTGGAGTTGACTGTTGAAGATTTAATGGCCATTGCTGAACAGGTAATTTTCTTTTTCTGTTAAGGAGAAAAGTAGGGTTTACTTTGCTTGAGTAATCTGAATAGAAATGTTTGCCACTTTAGCATATATGATAAAGTGAATTTAGAATATTGCTTCCCAATACGAAGATTGTGATGGAGATTCTATATTCGCTTGAGCATTTTTTGTCGTATGTCTACAGTATGTCAAAGATTACAAGGACAAGGAGATGCAAGAAGCTGTAGGTAGACAGGGCGAGCAAAAAGGGCAATTGCTGGCCACAATGGAAGCAGCAACTACTCTTGATTCTTCGCGTGAGAACAAAAAATCATCTAGTTTGGAAAGGGACGATTTATATACTTTTGCTCCAACAGCTGGCGAGGTAATTCCTACAAGCACATCTCAAATAGATCATCCTGCTCAAAACATGCTGGAGGTGTTCTTGGGTCCATTGTTGAAAACAACCTTGGAGAAGGAGGAGAACTGGAGAAGAGAAAATCTGTCTTAGATAGTTTAGAGATTACCCATGAGTTCACTAGTCGAAGTCAAAATGAACATGTTGGGGAAATGATCCCCTTGATAAAGAAATGAAACACTTTGAAAGACTGGGTGGCTATTGTCCTGTGTGAGATATGTAGATTCAAGAAAAAAAATATACAGGTCATGGCAAGGCAATGAATTAGTTATTGTACGACATATAATAGTAGCCGCGTTTGAAGGAATTAATGTAGATGGTTGCATTCTCACTCTAGTTGATCAAAATTCCTCTACAATATTGCTATAGTTGATTTGTTTAGTTAGTTGTAGATTGAACTCGACGCACTAAAATTGGATGTCAATATCCCCATTACCAGGGGAGTAGCGAAGGCTTAAGAAATCTCATCTTTTGGTGCTAACTCAGTGGTTAGAGCTTCTTAGTCTTGTAACCTCAAGGTACTGAGCTCGAATCTCATTGAGAACAGTTGTAAAATGGTCATTAATGACACTCTAATTAATAAAGATTCCCCTTTCCCATTTTATTTTATCAAATGCTGTTATTTTTGTAAGCATGATCATGTCAACCAGGTCTTCTGCTGCTGGAATTGTGTCCGACCTTTTGGTATAAAGGTTCAGTTTAGTAATCTAATTGTATGTATTAGCTTCACCATATTGAATCATCTTTGTTTTTTGAGCAACCTTGTGATGAATTTGCATGTTTTGAGGAACCTTATAGTAATTGGTAGAATGAACATTGATAGTTGCTTAAAATTTTATTTATCTTTGAAGCCAAAATCATAATAGTAGCAAAAAAGGGAAGGAGAAAACTCCACTGGGGAAGGTGGGATTTTTATTTATCTTTGAAGCCAAAATCATAATAGTAGCAAAAAAGGAAAGGAGAAAACTCCACTGGGGAAGGTGGGATAAAATCCTTTTAAATTGTGGTGCTTCTAAGTGGGTTCATGGTAAAGCTCACCTTCTTTTTTTATATTTATCTCTTACTCTTCTTACTCTTACATATAATTCGAGTGACTTTTACATATTGTATCTGATCTGATAGAAAACTTTCTTTAGAATAAAGAATATCAATAGTGTTAACTATTAATTCTCCAGTTGAACAATGTTCAATGCACTAAACGGTGGTTGTCGTGTACATGCCTTTACGAAGAAACTTTGATAGCCCTATTTTGTGTCCTATTTTCTTGACATCTTCTTGAATTTGGTGTCGATATTCTCCAAAGGTGAAATTCCTATATGTTGAAGGCTCCTTGCAGCCACTTATCATAGTAGTGTAAGAAGGACATAGGAAGTATGCAATGGAGTATCTTTCCACCTTGTTGTTCGCCACAACCTTGTGCTCTACACTTTTGTACTCATCATTACTCCAGGCCTGTGATTTTTCATAAGGAAAGACCTTGTTAGTGAATGAACCTTTGGTAATTTGTTAAATGTAACAGATAGTTAATAATTATTTCTATAGCCAAAGGAGTTTTTTAGTAAAAATCTGATGTGATGATCTGTGCATATCTGATTATGGGGTTGAGTCAATAATTGATGCTGCAACACTCACTTTGATAATCACTTTTCTATTCATTTTTATAATAATAGAGACTGCAAAAAGGGGATGTGCTTTTGGCATTTGTAGTCAACGAAAAGAACCTTAGTTCTAGTTGAAGGATGCTACAAATAACCACTTTATGCAATTCTAAAGATGGAATATTGTTTCCTGGACTCATCTGCTTATATATTATTCCTTTGAAAAAAATAATATGGTATGCTGCTTGCATCATATTGGTTGTTAGTTTAAATCATTCCCTTTTTTTAATGATGTGTTTAAATAGATTCTTTTGAAGGTTGGCATGCTGCATGCAATGCATCATATTATTTTTAGAAATACAGTTAATTTCCTCCATTAATGGCTGTAGATGTTAGCGTTGGGTGAATTAGTTGTCAATTAATTTTCTTCATTAATATCTAATTAGTATTCTGTTGTAATCAACTAACTTTTACCTGGAAAAGATCTCCAATGTTAACAATAAGAGCATCTGGATTTGGTTTTACAGCGACCCATTTGGAATCTTTCATCAGTTGAAGTCCACCGACTTGATCTTGATAAAGGATTGTGAGGAAATCACTGTCAGTGTGAGGTACTAATCCAAAAATTTCTTCTTTAGATTTTGGACAGGAAGGATAGTGATTCAATCTCAGAAAGCATGTGCTTGCATCGCAGAGTTTTTCAACTGCATCTGTCTGGTGGCCCAAGTTTTCTGCTAGAATACCTGCCAGTAGCCTGGACACTTCTAGCATAGCTGGTGCAAACTCATTTATTGCTTCTCTGCAGCAAAGGGTTAGAAACATATTAACTTGCTGTTTTTTTTAAGGGTGAAATCATGCATGCACAACATAATTATTCTCTCATATGAAGCAGGTTGGTTCTAGAGACAACTGCATTTTGTCTGAGCATAAATTCTAGAAGCCAACCTGTCAAGATCTGTAATAAACTAACAAGTGGTCATTTTGTCTATATTCAAATAATTTAATGTATTTCTTCAGTGCAAAGTAACTGGACAGTTGATGAAAAAAAATCAGTTGTCGGTATTGCATTACTTACATGACAATTATGGATTCTTGATGACTTGGTCATACTTAAATCATCAAACTCACTTTAGAGGAGACGATTACTAAATAATTATTTAGCTTAATTCTTATTTTAGTGATGCAAAAGTTGATATTATTTAGTTCAAAAACCTGTACGCGCGTATCGTACACGGATCTTCTACAGCGGCTACATGGTGCAGGGACTGCAGGAACCATTAGAGTCTAGTGAAAAATTAAAGAATTAATATAGGGACAGTAGAGTTTATCTGTTTTAAGGAAATTTAAGGAGAGTCAAGTTTGATTTTCTTCAAACATAAAACAGGATCATTATGTTTTGAATCAGGGTTAGTATCATGCCTAGAAATCAGGTTATGTTGTCAGTGTAAGTGAAGTGGCTTGAATGTGATTCAATAAGGGACCTAATGCGCACAAATCAAGTTATGTTTTGAATCACTTCCTCAGCACACCACCAAGACAAATCAGTTACACTCAAAATAAATGTCGTTTTTCGTTGTTCTGCATCATTTGATTTTGTCTTTGTTCTGTTTTCATGTTGTAGAGTTGTTTATTAAAATGTTTCAATGAAGTAAACTATGTTAAAACTCAAGTATAAGAGTGAAGTGTACCTTAGAGAACTGAATTCACCCCAGCAAGCTGCTTCTGAAATCATGGTGAGAGGAATGTGGAAAGCTTCTGACCATGAAAAGTGATTTAAACTAGTAGCTGTTGGTGTCCCCCACCTGTATGGATTGTTTAGAAGTCCACAAGTGACCTTCTTCTCAAAGGGTACCCTAAACAGCTTCATTTGCTCCTCCTTCATATTTCTTAGTAGGTCAGGGTTTATACCATGGTTTATCACTTGGAAAAATCCCCATTCTGATGCTGCCTTGCATATTGCTGCAGTGCAAGCCATTCTTTCTCTTACATTACAGCTTTTAAGACCATTAAGGTCTATCAAAGGTAGTTCACATGTATCCACCACAGTATTACTATTATCTTGATCATTGAAACTTCTAGACTTTTGAGGTTCATCTGAATTTTTCAAAAGTGCTCCATAATGGTTCAAGAGTGGTGGATTTGAGTCAATCATTGTTGCACCTAGTTAGAAAGAAAGAGCTAGCTATGAACTATGAAGTAACTATGAAGTGTTTAAAGTTTTGGTTTTGGTTTTGGCAAGTAGAGAGAAAGGTGTTGGTGATTGAGGTTGAGAGTGCATTTATAAGGCTGGATTTGGAGAATGGAGGCACTAAGGTATAGGGGGGTCTAGAAAGTCATGAAATGGACAATCACTTAGGACAATCAAGGCTGTCCAAACATTGACAAATGTCGGAGGGATAGTGATTTGGAGCTCTCTCATTAGACCATGTTTTAAAAAGGATACTAAAAATAGTGTGAAAGGGTCATCATCACTAGGGAAGTTTCAAATAAGAACGAAAAAGGCTTCAAACATGTTTTCTTCTTTTGACTTTGCTAGTTACAAGTCTTAAAATATTCATAATGATTCCAGCAGGGGAGAAACGTTGTAGTGAACATCAGTCTGATTTATAATCAAGGTTAATGACACAATCACATGATTTTACGATGAAATATGTTAAACGAAGTAACGATTAAATTAAACTGGTGTAACATTTTAATATTATAACACTGTTCAATAGATTTTTATTGGATATTGTCTACACTTAAAAATAAATTATGTCATTAGAAATCAACTAGACATAAATTGGGGGAGCATTCTATGCTGTTGGATTTTCCTTCGAGGAACACACTGATATGATGTGTAATTAGATATTTTAAATAGTAAGAATCAAATGAAAAATTATTTTATTTCCTTTATTTTATTTAGTTATTTTAGTGTTCTTCCCTCTTTAGTTCCCTCTTTAGTGTAGAAAACTCTAATTCTTAGTTTTGATAAGAAATCTTTCTATCACACACCACTTGTCTATCTAAAATCTTAAAGTAATAGGTAAGTGAATTCATACTTATCTAATACTATTTCTCCACTTACTCGCACTTGTATTATTATTCTAACAAACATGTCAAGTATTTTTTTTAGTAAAATACATTAATCTTAAATAATATTAAATAATTTTAACTTCAAGTAAAATTTACAAAACTATAAATAGAATGTTAGTCGAGAATGGAAGACAATCAAGTTTAGAGTTAGTCAAATTCTTCTAAGCAAATGAAAGTTTGAAGAATGTAAAATAGTTCAAATTTTTCTCAAGTTCACATAATTCCACGAAGTTCGTGAGAGTGTTAAAATCAGTCAAATTACAATAGAACTTGACAATTTAACCGTTTATGTGTGCTCATGTTTATAACAATAATTATTAAAACGGTTTCTTGTTCTAAGGGGAAGGAATTTAAAATTTCATAAATGATAAAAGATCAAGGCTGACTTAGAAACCTTTGAACAATGCCAAATTATATAAGCTACATTGTTTTGGCCATTAGAAGTAGTATCTACCTATAAATACCACACTAACAATACCACAATTTATATATATATATATATATATATATATATATATATATATATATATATATATATATATATATATATATATATATATATATATATATATATATATATATATATATATATATATATATATATATATATATATATATATATATATATAAAACAAGTTATTTACATATTTTTATTCATTCATCTCTATGTTTTACTTTATATTTACGATTTTTTTTAAGTTTATTGACTTAGTTTAATTGCTTGAAATAAAAAGGAATATATTAATACGTTTTAAAATAAAATTTAGTGAAGATACCTCTTATTTAGTTTTTATTTTCTTAGTATCTGTATCATTTTAAAAGAGATGGAATATAAGATCAAGTATTATGCCATCCGTGGTGGATTTTGAAGAAAATTTTGAAGGGTTTCAAAAATTAAAGTACACATATAAATCATTTAAAAAAAATTAAATATGTTTTTGGTCTATCTAAATATAGCATATATCAGTTTTAATCCCTCTAAATATTTCATGTAATGAATGGTTCATATAAAATTTTTCATCCATAAGATTCATCTGTGACGTTAAATTAAGCTAACAACTGCTGATGTGGCCGCTCACGTGTAACTAAAATTCATTCTATTTTCCATCCACAGTCCTACGTGGTATATGCTTGCTTAGATAATGTTGTAATCCTAAAATACCAAACAAATATCAAATTGAATGAAACCCTAAAATCTCCCTCTTGATCTGAAACACTCAAAGTTTGAAAAATTCATCGTGTTTGTTTGAAGCGTAATTGAAGCACAAATTTCATCCTTCAACTTTCCTTCACATAATCGTTCGTTGAAGCACACATTTCATTGTCTGTAGATGTTGTTCGAAAGGTGTGGTCCCAGATCAGACGCGTTATACTTTTTTTTATTTGTTTATGGTACTCACTTGCCCGACAACTTTTATATATATATATATATATATATATATATATATATATATATATATATATATATATATATATATATATATATATATATATATATATATATATATATATATATATATATATATATATTATGTGTTGTGTGGATCACTTTGTTGTATTGTAGTGTTGATTGTTAATGGTATATGTGGAGCACTTTATTGTTTTCAATTTATTAACTTCAATATTTATTATATGTGGACATATTTTGTGTGATAATGTCTAAGTTATCCTGTTTACAAGATGGGGTTACTTAAGGTTGTGTTTTTTCACAAATGGGTCTTTTGTAAAAGACCCAGATATAAGGTACTAAGGTGGAGAAATTTTTGCATTTAGTGGACAAGACACGAATTTCTGCTTGTTCTTTAAAGCTCGTGACCTTATCAAAGGGATGAATCTACATTTAATATAGATGAAGTAAAAATATGGTGGAAGCATGAAGAGGATTATTTAGAAAAAGATCTTAAACTGTTTAGCAATGATGAGGATGCTTCTACCTTGGCTTGATATGTTGTGAATAATAATTCTGATGTGAAAATTTATACAGAGGCCAAAACTACTACATGTGAGTTGACCTATATGAAGAGGTTTATAGAGAGACAAAAAGGACATGAAGTTGATGAGGGAGATAGTGGTGATGAGTATGAACCAATTGAAGATTTTGTGGATGGTATTCACTTTGAGGATATTGAAGAAGAGAGAATGCAAGATTCTGATGGAGAACTTGAAGAAGGAACTAACATTGGAGGTGTGTCTAGAAATGAGAATGTTCAAAGTGAAGCAAACAACCGTGGATTTATCACAAGGGAGATGGATAAGAAACATTTTATAGAATAAAATTACATGAGCAAGTTGATGATCCCATCAAGTATGTAAGTAGGTGTTATCATAAGAACACTTACTTGAGCTGCTATAATGAGGTTGTGACACCCATAAATGGGTAAATCAAATGGCCCAAGATTGATGCTCCAGAAATATTGCCACCACTTTACAAGAGGGTTTCAAGTAGGCCAAAAAGCTCAGAATGAGAGAACTAGATGAGGCATCTCATACAAGATGGCAAAGAACAAACACAAGTCATAGGTGCAAAACATACTTAGTGTATGGCCATAACAGCAGAACATGTAAGAAAGGTAAGCAACTTGCAATTGTTCCTGGTGAAGTACCTAGAAGTGTTAAAACAACCACTTAAGTAAGCCAAACTATCACTATGAATACAAGACCAAAGAAAACGGTTAGTATCTTTACTATCTAATTATATATCATTTGACATAATTGTTACTTTACTATGAAATTTTGTATTCATTATGTATACTTGTCTCAACAGGGTAGACCAAAAGGGTCAATCAATAAGGGAGGTCCAAGTAAAAAGGCAAAGACATCTGCTCACGAGTCTTCTGCATAACATGAGAATAATCCACAACCTGACAATACTTCACAACACGAGTCTTCTGCACAACATGAGAATAATCCACAATCTGAGCAACCTGAGAATGTACAAACTATAATACACGCATCTATAAATTCAAGTTAGACATTAAGAATATATTATGGGATAGAACTTGATACATTGGATGCACTACCGAATGATGATGGTATATTGAATATTGAACCACTCCGTGTTGCAACTAGTCCTGTAAAAAAAACATCAACAAACTGCTAAGGTGACTTCAGGTGATGCACAACAAACTAAAAATGTGACTCCAGATGATGCACAATAAACTGAAAAGCTGACTCCAGGTGATGCACCTCAAACTTTCAAGTGATGCACCACAAACTACTAAGGCAAGTCCTGTCAGAACTTTCTTTGTCCCATGTCCAAAATTACCTAAGTCTCCAAAGCCAAAACTGCCTAAGTCTCCAAAGCCAAAACAACCCGAGTCTCCAAAACAAACAATGAGTGACCCAGTAAGTTCAACAATGCATGTTTGGATGATTTTGTATTAAGATACTTGTCATTTGATTATTTATAATAAATGTTGTTGTCATGACAGGTGAAGACCTTGATAAAAAAATGGAGGAAAGGAAAACATGTCGGGGCTCCTACAAGAAAGAGCGATTGACTTATGACATTGAAAATATGTGACATTATGGGTCTAGGGAAGGATGCCGAGGATTCACTTGTGATACCTGAAGAGAGCATAGAAGTTGACATAGAAGTTGACAGTGTTAATGGGAAGAAGTCTTGGAATACCATTGAGAAGAGATTGACTCAATGACATCAAATATCTATTATGCACTCTTTTGTTTTGTGTGTAACATCATTATGTGCATTATACACTCTTTTTATTTGTGTGTAACATCAAACCTATTAACACTCTTTTGAGTGGTTTGACAATGTCTGTTACCATATATATTTTTGTTTTGAACATGTACATTATGCACTATTTTCTATTAACATGTGTACTCTTTTGCTATGTTGAGATATGGTTTACAAAAATGAACCATTAAACTCAGTAAATAATTCTTACAAGTATCCTCAAAATATGTCAATTTTACAATACTCATAAGGAATCATTATACCCGGTAACAACAAAAACAATATAGATATATTTAACAAGAATCAATAATTTTCATTAAACTCATTAACAATACTTATACATTACAATTGAATCAATTGCGCTTAACCAAAGATACATT